GTGTGTGTGTGTGTGTGTGTGTGTGTATGTGCGTGCGGAGGGGTGGGTGTGCTGTAGCTCAATATGTCAAAGCCCCACATACTTGTCCAGGCTTTCTAGCTACGGTATTCCCCCGAACACAACGCACCCTCATTTTGGCTGTATCATATACATTAATTTTGAGGGTGCGTTATGTTCGTGGGAAGACGGTCTTCCCCGTTTACCTCCTCCTTGTCATGACTTCGACATATGGGAAGATAACCACATGCCTCCACTCATCCTCCTCCTCTTCATTATGTCACTTAACTGCTTTCCTCTCAGCCTTCTGTCATTTCCTCCCCGCCCCTTCATGCACCGTTCGTTTTTTTCCTACCCTGCCTGCTTATCTTGTGTTGCTGTTGCCGTTTTACCGCCCTCCCCATCTTCCTCCTGCTCCTTCGCCCTCCGTTGTCACCCCATTATCCTTCCCCTTGTCGTTTTCCTTCGTTCCCGCCCCTCAGGACTTCACCGCACCCGCACAACTCCCTTGCTTGGTAATGTTAAGGTGCCTGCTCATCCGTTCAGGAACCTTGTGTCGGGGGTCTTGTATCTTCCTGTGGGTGGCTTGCTCAGGAGGAGTGTGCCTACCCTAAAGCTTTTCGCCATTGCCACTAAACTGGCTCGTCAGGAGAGGTTAGCAATCTGCGTACAGTACAAGACCCTTCATCGTTGTACTTCTGAGGAGCTTCATGACGTCGTATGTCCTCGTCTTCCTATATCTGCGACTCTCTCCTGATCACAATGCAGCTTCCTCGCTTTCCTGTGACCAGAACTACTCCCCGATCGCGTCTTGCTGATGCGCTTAGTACGGGGTGCGAGGACTGGGATATATAGATAGTAGTGGAGGTACAGCAGTTTGTTGGTTGAAGGGTGGGGGGCGCGGGGGTCGGCAAACCAACAGCAAACCGAGGCATAAAAGACGTTGAAGCAAAAGACATGTGTTGGATGGCATTGGGGAGGCGGGTGGGCAAACCAACAGCACATAGCCAAAATGTAGTAAAAACCGACGAACAACATGCACAAAGAATTCCAGTACCAAAATGAAAGAACGAAAAAAAATTGGACTTATTTATTTTTTTCTTAAACCACCAGTAGAAGGCCGGAGGCAGAGTATTTTCGAACCGTCAAAGGTACTGGTGGTTTAAAGCCATCTCTGCAAGGCCTCTATCCCGGCGGTGGTGAGAGAACCATCAGGATTGACGCTTTGGCTATGAGGCTGCTCCGTCTATTGGTGGGGAGCTGCACCTGCTGGAAACCGGGTCCAGCGTCCCTTAGATACATCCATTCATTGTTTTAATTGTTTTTTTTCTTTTTTTTGAAAAAAATTGAACTGGTGATAGATGGCGTTGGAGTTGCACTGACTCATCAGAAGGCTGAACCCTTGACAATCTGCGGGATCTCTGTATTGATGGTTTGGGTCATGAACCCTTTGTTTGACCCAGGTTGAAGGCAGACTGTCCACAAGCGGAACACAGTAGCAGGGCAACAACGTTGAAGCACCAGGCAACACTGCCGGAGGCCCGGCGCAACCCGACTGCACAACGCCAAAAACGTCTGGCTAGCGGATGAGCAGCAGGGCAAGAGCGTGGCGAAGCACAAGGCGGCACCAACACAGTAGCCACACTACATGACACACAAGCGAGGAACACGGAAGGCAAGGCACGCGGACAGGCAAGCGAACGAGCAGCAGGGCAATCGGTGAAGCACACGGCAGCGCACCAGCACAGCAGCCACACTACTTGGCACACAAGCAAAGAACACGGAAGGCACGACACGCAGATGGGCAGCAAGGCAGAAGCGCAGTGAAGCACAGGGAAACACTAACACAACCACACCACACACTGAACACAACAGCCTTGCAAAGAACTACATGTAACACAAGCAGGACGGCCAGCAAGGCAGCGGTGGAGTGCAAACAAGCAGACTACACATCCAACACGGAGCAAGTGGCACATCACTTACTCATATCGTGATTGAACCTTGCAGACTGTTGGTTCCCACCACCCGCTGAGTCAGGGAGTCGCCCAGATGAACATCCATCATCACCCACAGTCAACACTCAAATGTTACCGGACGACGGGGTTACCGGACGTATGGGGGAGACGTCCGGGGGAGACGACCGGCCCCCGGACGACGGGGTTACCGGACGTATGGGGTTACCGGACGTATGGGGGAGACGTCCGGGGGAGACGACCGGCCCCCGGACCATTGGTAACCTAGCTAAAAACATGAAAACAAACTTAACAAAGTGAAAAAGAGAAATATGAAACGACTCAAATGACTGGACGGTGCTGATTTTTCTCAAAGTTTTATTTCCAGCGGGAAAAAAAAATGCTCAATATAAACAATTTAAAAATAAAACTTCAAAGCAGAGGAAAAAACAAAAAATAGATGATTAAATGGGCTTTTTTTTTCTTTTTTTGACATTTTATTTGGAAGCAGGGTGTGTTGCCCCACATCCCCGCATGCACACCCACCCACACGTGTGCACATGCGCGTGCACACACACACACACACACACACACACGCACACACACACACACAATCAGTTTTCCTTGCACACACACACACACACAATTAGTTTTAGGCATGCTTGTTTTTCATCTTTTTCCTATTTTTTCTAAGTTCTTTTTGTGTCTCTAGCCGAGCACCCTCTAGCAGTGCCAAACAGTCGGTGATTCCTCGTTTGGAGTGCCAACTGCACTCTTAGGGGGGCCGCTTGGTTCGGGATATCTGTGTTGCCTGTTGGTGATGACGAATGGTCGTCGGAGTGTCCCCCTGGCTCAGCGGGTGATGGGAACCAACAGTCTGCGGGGTTCTATCGTGATGTGAGTAAGTCATGTGCTGCTTTGCTCCGTGTTGGATGTGTAGACTGTCTTGTCTGCGCGCTACCGTGGTCTTGCTGCCCGTGCCGCTTGCTTTGCAGGTCGTCCTTGCTGCTCTGCTGCCTTGCCGCTTACCCGCGGGTCGCGCCTCCTGTGTCTTTTGCGCGCGTGCCTTGTGGTTTGGTAGCCTTGTGGCGGTGCCTCGCGCTTCGCTGCACAGTTGCTGAGCTGCTTGTCCGCGTGCTTTGTCGGCCTTCAGTGTCCCTTGCGTGCATGCCTTGTAGTCTGGTTGCCTTGTAGTCTGGTTGCCTTGTTGGTGGTGCCTTGTGCTTCACTGCACGGCTGCCGAGCTGCTCGTCTGCTTGCCCTGTTGGCCTTCTGCGTCCTTTTCTTGCTTGCGTGCCTTGTAGTCTGGTCGCCTTGCTGGTGTTGCCTTGCGCTTCACCGCATGGTTGCCCAGCTGCTCGTCCGCTTGCCCTGTCGTTCCTTGCAGTCGTCTTTGGTGATAAGCAGTTGGGCTGCCTCTACTGTGTCGCCTGGTGCTCCACAGGGTTGCTGCCTGCTGCTATGTCCCGTTTGGGGACAGTCTGCCTTCAACATGGGGTCAAAGGGTTCATGACCCAAACCATCAAATACGGGGATTTCGCAGATTGTCGAGGGTTCAGCCTCCTGATGAGTCGGTGCAATTCCGACGAAACAATCTTGTCATCATCAGTTTTTAATTTTTGTCTTTATTTTTTTCGGTCTTCGCTGTTTTTGGGGACTTGTAATTTTTTGCTTTGCCTCTTTCTGTGTTTGAGTGACGTCTGCCCTCCCGCCTCCCCCGTGCCTTCCACCCATTGTCTTT